ATCGCCTCCTTGCCCACCAAGCTGGGTTGGAACAGCACCTCCGGGCAGCGGAACCGCTCGCTTTGCAAGGAGACGATGTTGCCATCTGGCAACTCATACGTCTTCGCCTTGTCGCTACTCTCCGCTGCAGACTTCATCTCGCTGTCAAAGTCCAGGGCGATGTAGCAAAGCTTCCTTAGCATACAACAAAACCTAACGGAAGAACAATGGAGCACTAGACCCGCCTGCGCACTGCAACTGCCACAAAACTTAACCAATCATGATGGAGTTTCTCTTTGATGTCGCGCACAATCTCTCGCTCGGCACTGCTGCCAAAGGAGTAGCCACTCTCCATCATGATCTTCATCAAGTATTCGGTAAGGTCGCGGCCAGCTAGGTCCAGGCGTGCGATTGCATGTGGAAGCGCATATCCCTCGTAGATAGGCACGGTGTGAGAGACGCCGTCTCCCGAATCCATGACAATGCCCGTGGTTCTGCCGGAGGAATACAGCGAGAGCACTGCCTGGATGGCGACATACATCGCCGGCACTCCGAACGTCTCAAACATGATCCTTAGTGCTGCATGCCTTTCTAGCCTCACATGTGCTGCTGGAACTGTGAGCGATGTTTCGGTGCCCAGTGCCCATCCCTACTTAAACGGACACCAAGCGTCTGCGTCATGCGCTCACGATTGGCCTTTGGGTTCAGCGGCGCCTCTGTCAGCAGAACCGGATGTTCTTCAGGCGATGCACGCAGCTCGTTGTAGAAAGTGTGGTGCCATATTCGCTCCATGTCGTCCCAATTCGTCACGATGCCGTGCTCGATAGGGTATTTGAGGGCCAGGATACCACGCTTAGCTTGCGCTTCGTCTCCAACGAAGTGGTCTTTCCTTAGCACACATCACCGTGAGAAATCACATGCTTCAAACCGGCATACTCACACGACTTCGTTCTCCTGAGCTGGCAAGGTTCGAGTCCATCCCGACCATGATGCCCGGCATCTTCGGGCGCCCGATGATGGAAGGAAAGACTGTTCGGGGAGCGTCGTCGCCAGAGAACCCTGCCTGCCGGGAGCTTTGATGGGGAGGGAGGCTGATAGCAAAAGAAAAACCTTGCAGCACGGATCCTACAAGGCCTGCCTTGCACATGCCGCTGCCATTGTCAACCACAAGAGCTACAACCTCGTCCGACATGGCTAACTCCTTGCTCTGCGCGAGGAAAGAAGCTGGGAAGCCGAAACACTCACGGAATCTCATGGTGCCCTAACCCCTCGAACCCACAACCCCAAAGGTACCGGGCCGGAACCCGAGGATCCTTTTGGCAAAACAGCAGCAAGGGAAGAGGAGAGAGAGGCACAAAGAATAGCAACTTAAACCCTAAACCCGATAATCCTTGCCATGGCTGTGTAGAACTGGCCGGGCTTCGCGCACCTACCTTCCTGCGGTCGTAGGGTGGCACCTCATCCGAAGCAGGGGGTTAAGGATGTAGGGTTCAAGGGCTGCGGCTACGGTTCAAGGGGCTTGGGTTCAGGCTTCAGGGTAAAACCTAAACCCTAAACGCTAAACCCCTAACCCCTGAACCCCTAAACCCCTAAACCCCTAAACCCCTAAAACCCTAAACCCCTAACCCCTGAACCCTAAACTCTCGGCCCTAAACCGTAGCCCCTAACTCCATGAACCCTAAACCCTAGGCCCTAAACCGTAGCCTGAACACCCACATCGAAGTTTCAACCCGACAAACACCGGAAACTCAGGGCCTTCCGTCTCCTTACATATAGGGTTTAGGGTTTAGGGTTTAGGGTTGAGGGTTTAGGGGTTAGGGTTGAGGGTTTAGGGTTTAGGGTTGAGGGGGTTTAGGGTTTAGGGTTGGGGGTAAGCTGCGATCTAATCATCAAGGCCCCCTACCTTACAGGGTTTACGGCTCAAGCCCGCGGCGTTGTCCTCTGATGTTTGGAGTTGGACTTGCTACCCATGGGCTCCAAAGCGGTTCCTTTTGGGGATTACCTTATAGGATTCTACATATAAACCGCAAAAAGGAACTACTTAGGAGCCTATGGGTAATGAGGCAATTTGGCTAAGAGGCCGACTCTCCCTGAACTGCCAAACCCCCAAACCCCTAAACCCCTAAACCCTAGGCCCTAAACCCCTAAACCCTAGGCCCTAAACCCTAAACCCAAAGCCCTTAAACCCCAAAACCCCTAAACCCAAAACCCTAAACCCCTAAACCCCCTAAGCCCCAGAACCCCTGAACCTCAAAGCCCTAAACCTCCCAAACCCCCAAAACCCCAACCGAAACGACGCCGCGAGCCTTCACCACGAGCTCAGGGCCGAGACCGAGGTCCAAAGGCTCCTGCGGGGTTTAGGGGGTTTAGGGGTTTAGGGGTTTAGGGCTTTAGGGGTTTAGGGGTTTAGGGGTTTTAGGGTTTAGGGGTTTAGGGGTTTTGGCACGGAGCGTTTCGGGGTTTGAGGGCTCAGGAGGTTCCGGGTTGAAGGTTTAGGGTGTAGGGCTTAGGTTTTAGGAGGGGTTCCTTTAAACGGTTCTTCAAAGGGTTCTATAGGGGCTACTGTAGGGGTTTAGAGTTTAGGGTGTAGGGCTTAGGGTGTAGGGCTTAGGTTTTAGGTTTAGGCTTCAGGGCTTAGAGGTTTTAGGGGTTTCGTCTTTTTTTCGCCGGTTCCGGGTCCTTTATGCGCCTGGTTGCGATTTCGGATGTTTTTCCGCCTGCTTGGGTCCTCTTCCGACCTGTCGCATGGGTTTCGGGTCTTGTTTCCGCCTGCTTGCTGTTTCGGCTTATATGCACTCTATAGAAGCCCCA